ACATATGTTCAAGTAACAACTGCACGCATTTTACACTTCAGGAAGCAACTTAAATGTTTTTTAACAGCTTCTGTAACTGAAAGTATTCACTAGAATATTTTTTTGTAGCTTTTTGCGTTGTTGCTCATTACTGATTCTCAACAGTCTTATGAAGTGTGTCTTTCCTGCAGGCATTGAGGAGCACAGACACAGGATTTATTTATGATCAAGCAAGCCTTTTCATCCAACCAAAACGTACTTACTTCAGCCTGTCTCATTCTGCAATGTGACTGTGTTATGTTTGCTGGCTATGCTGCAAGTCTGCAAGGTGCATTTATGACTGTGAGTGTAGTTCCTCAAAACCTACCCCAGTTAACGCTGCTACTCCAAGTGGTGTAGACACAGAAAGCACAGAGCGCAACTGGGGCTTCCAGAGCATTGACTCAGCTTCTCAGTTAGGATGGCTGCAATGCCTGAGCAGTGAAATATAAATTTTTATCTCAAAATTAAAAAAGAATTCAGCTCTCTACGGTGAGATAGTCTCTGGAGAATTCAACTGATCTTCAGCTAAATCAGCTTCTTCCTATGAAAGAACAGCAGAAATTAAAAGGTATCAATGCAACCATGCTTCTTTTTGTAGATACCTCTGAAAATTACAACATCCAGGAATTGTGACTGTCTCACAGCCTCTAGAGGGCTCTTTCAGATCTGCCGGCTGCAGCTGGAAGTCCCTGGGGAGTCCTAATTTGCCCTGAAGCACTAACACTGGCCTTCAGGGGTGCCTGAAAACTCCACGTGTGGATTACATCTCTGTTATTTTAGGACTGTACAAATGCATACTGATACTGTTGCAGGTTAAATATCTTAATTCAGACAATCCACCTGTGTATATGAAATATGTACGTGGATGTGAGCAAGACATCTGCTTTTGCTTAATCGCTCCTTTGGAGACATTGCTTAGGTGTTCGACAAGAGAGATCTCCTTCATTTCACTCAGAAGCTTTTGGCTGAAGTGCCATGCGTTAAGAAGTGGTTTGCATGCATGCGGTGTTGCTTCTTACAGGTTTTTCACAAGCTTTTTGAAATTGGCATCATTACATATACCTAAGTAATTCACACCAAAACCACTCTATAGAAAAGGCTAATTAGGGATTATGAAGTACTCCATGAAACGAACTCCAGACATGAACTATTATTAGCTAGAAGCAGCTTTGTAATTTCCAGAATATATCTACTGTATTTTCCTGTCTGCTGATAAACTTAGTGTGCTGGAAGTAAACTAGAAGTCTGTTAGCTCTTCTGATTGGTCAAACCTCGGCTTTTGGTGTGCAAATGCTAAAGCTTCATGTTGGCTTTCTGCTTGTTCTGCTGGAAGCACCAAAGGCCATCAGTGGGAGGGGAACACCTAGAGCAACCACAGAGAGAAGAGCGAGCCAGCAAATTAAGAAGCAGTTCCTGTGAGAGGCTGAGATGTGACACTACTGTGTGCATGGAATAACAGCTACGAATGTTAAAAGTGAAAATCCACATGAGGGATTTCACATTTCTGTTTTCTACAGATGTAGCCTTGGCTTAACTGAGTTAATTTTCTTAAGAGACTGCAGTGTTACATATGGTCACTAATGACAGAAGCTAAAAATACTACCGTGGTTTTCAGCTGCGCTATTTCCCCTATGTTTCAATATAATAAAGCAATTGGGAAAGATGGGGTTCATCTCAACCTAACTTCACCCACTTATAGCGAACCAATCCATTTTAAACTAATCATCGACCTCCCTCTGTAGAACTGGTAGAAGTAAGGTGCCAGTATTTTACTCATAAATTAGAATAAAGTGGATAAATTACCATTAGGAGTGACGACTCTCTGTTGAATCTAGATAACAGGTTCATAATTTACACAGGTGTAATTTAGGTGAGCTAATTCTCCCTTTGCTGCTTTCTGACTTTGTTTGGCAGGCTCAGTTTAAATGGAAGGAGAACTTGGTGCTGTGGATCAAACCTAGTATGCACGTACCAGTTTGCTGAAGTCTTAGTTCACAGTAGATCTTCTTCTCTTGATCTTCCTGTTTTCAGTATGACCGCCATGTGTAGCTTCTGGAGTTAGATCTGCTGTCCTCAGTCAAAGGCACAGGGCAATCCCAAGGACTGCAAGCATGTAAGAACTGGTAAGTGACTACTATAGTAGAAAGTCAGCTGTTGCAAAGAGCTGATATTTAAACATTCTCAGTCAGAGGGGTATGAAGGCATTCTCATGTCATATTTTCCCCTTAAAGCTTTTATATCCTCATAGGAGTGGAATTAATTTTTCACAAGTATATCTAGTAAGGAATATAGGCACCAGAGCTGGAAGAAAAATTATTATTTACCTCTAATTGTAAATTTCATAACGAAAATGTTCATATGTTCATAAGGAACATATTGCTTATTATATACTAAGTGGAATGTTCTCTACATTACCTTACAGGTTAAGTGTTGAATCAGTAGGATCTGCCATACCCAAAACCATATCTTAATTTGATTTGTGCAGCATTGTCAGATTGCTCTGGTCATACTGTGATTCCAGAAATAAAGCTCTATCTCCAACAGATTCCTGGGCAGAATAATGTTCTCAGTAGTGCAGCTTTTGCTTCAGCAGCTTTTGTGTACTTGCCAAATGATGACATCAGACATTTTAACTGCTGAGTTTTCAGCCTCATAATGGCAATCAATCTTTCTGTAAGCATCAAGTTTCCATGTGTTGTGTGCATGCATGGTAGCCATCTATTGCAAATGTTTGGTTACATTAATGAAGAGGGAGTACAGAGAGTAAGACATTTTTTTCTCAGTGGACTTGTTCAATCAAGCAGGGTACCCTGAGTGCTGTCTCAGCCAAATACTTAAACAAACATGCCACCAAACCTGTAGGAGCTTGGAAATTCTATCACAAATTACTCCTTTTACAGATTTTCAATTTAGAGTTTCTTGGTATGCAGGTACTGGGTTTTTTTTTAATTTCTCCTCCTCTTTTTCTTGACTCCTGGTTGAGAGAAAATTGCAGTTGGTGTTAGTTCCTTGTCAAACTGAGTTATTCCTTTTTCATCAACACTTTGTTTTCACATTGTTCCTCTTCCTGGTTCCCCTTTATGCTCCCAGATGTGTCTCTTTAAAATTCAGAGTTCTTAATATTTATGGGGCAGTATTTGGAAGCCTATGGAGCCACTGTCCAAGTTGTGTCACATTTGTGGAGCATTAGGAAGCTTCTCTTCTGCCTGCCAGCAATACAGATGCTATCCTCTGATTATCATGGTCTCTTTAAAAGAGAGAGAACATAATTTCCACTTCTATCAGTGCTATCTCCAGTAAAAATAACTAACACTAATCATCATTAATTTCTGTGCAGTACATTAGTAGTCTGTCTGATACTGGTCCATTAAAAAATACTTAGCCTCGAGTGTAAAAAGTCCTACATGAAAGTCTCAGGCAGTTTATGCTTAGTGTGCAGCTATAACATAGATTTCCTGCAAAACAATGTTCACAGGCATAAAAGCAGTATAAGGAAAGAGCAACATTTTGAGAATTGAAGGTAGGCAAAAAGCTCGAACAAGAAGGTGAGGCTTTTCTGTTAGAAAAGAAAGCAAGAAGTAAAGCAGCTATTACTGCCAGCAATAATGCCTGGAACACTGGGGTAGGGAATCTCCCAGAAAACAGTGGGATAGGAAACGAAATCCTTTGATCCTTGAGCCTGGAGAGAAGCAAGCTTCAATGTCACAAAGGACATTTGGCTAAAGAAAAATTAAGGACAATGTAAATAGTAACGATGAATGAAGTGGGATCTCCTACTGGCCATGAGAAACTGGAAGAATGTTCCACCAGGTTTCAGACCCCAGACTTAACTGACCTGTTTTCACTCATGTATGATTGCCACTGTTTTTGTGCAATTCAGTGTTTCAGAACCTCTCAAAAATAGAAAGTAAAGTATTAAATATACCTATGTTGATCAACAGATAATCAACTAGGTTACTGAATGCTGCTGGAGGGAGGCTGCACAGCATCCTGCAGCTGGCCAGTGAGAACAGCCCAGCTCCGCAGAGAAAGTTTCAAGCTGTCGTCATTGAGCAGCCTTCACTTCGTGTTCTCAGCTGGTGTTGCTTATCCAGCAACATTTCAGGCAGTGAAACTGGGTGATTATAGAAGTGGCACTTATTTCACTGTGGAATCAGCTATGAATGAGCTATGGAATTTATAATTTTAAAGCAAATATAAAAATGGGAAGGTCAGGCTAATTTATGGGACAAAAGCTAAAATGGAAAAGTCAAAGCATGAGAAGCTTTATTTGTGAATGAAAAATTGTAATTGACTGTTATGGACACCACTGCAAAAATACACTTTTTTGAGATTACTAAATGTTTTGTCAGCTCTGATTTTTCCAAGCAACTGATATTTATACATTTGATTTTGTAGTATTCTTTTAGGCATGAAAACCAAGTTGTGTTAGAAATGGAAGAGGTCAGATATCTCCAGAAGGTCATTTCTCACTGAACTTGATGTAACTCTGGATCATTAGAGTTATGCTAATTTACAAAGTTTCTTTAAATGGTTTTAAAATTTGCTATAACTGGGCATGCTTGTTTGAGGTCAAGGAGGAAAGTATCCCTATGTGTTGATTTTGATAGTGAGAGATCAAGGCTTTGGAGGAGAGCTCTTTTCTCACTACTAATAGGGAGAACCTGCCAGCCAATATAATCTCTCGAATAAGAACAATCTTATTTATTTTCCTTTTAATTTCCTAATAGAATTTGTGTGGTGCTGTTGAGTAGTTTTTTTCATTTAAACACTGAATTACTTAGATCCTATATGAAATACGAACTATTACTACTACAATGGAACGTTGTACTGTAAGGTTTTTTTCAGCTTGAGAGATTCTAGGATATAGTAGGATTTAATGCAGAGTATCTCTGCTACTTGGAATCAATTTTTTTAGGAAGGTGGTTTTATTTTAGGAAGGAATTTTTTTTTATTACAAAGATAATTGTAACTATGGAGTCTCTGTGGTGCAATCGGTTAGCGCGTTCAGCTGTTAACCAAAAGGTTGGTGGTTCAAGCCCGTCCAGAGACGGGTCCTTCCCTTTCCTCTGCTCATGTCAGGGAGGTTGGAACTAGGTGACCTTTAACATCCCTTCCAACCCAAACCATTCTATAATTACATTAAACTTTAGAAACCACTTTGGAAAACAAATTTGCTATTAGTCTCAGGCTCATTAAAATAGTTTGCTGAAGTATCAGCAATGGATTAACAGACTAAAATATTTCCATGGGTCATTATTTAAATGTGAAATTGCATAGAAATAGTTTAACTTAAGCAGAATATTACAGAGAGTTCTGTCATACCTGTTTGTCTATATGGTGCTTTGTCAGATTGCAGCTCTAATGGGGCTATGTAATTTCATGATGTTGAAATGTAAACATATGTAAAGAAAATATCAACATGGGCTACTGTGCCCCTCAGGCTTAGCAAAGATTTGTCATTTAGGAATTAACAGATAGCTGAGTAGTTGTGCTGTTTCCAGAAATTTTGTGTAAAAGCCTGGTGAGTTGGGATCTGCAGGACAGCTGCTACTGTTTGCTTCTAGCTTTACATCTCCTGTGCGTGGCACACTTTAGTAATTGCTCTAATGACAGGCATATGGATCCAAGTCTTTGATGTGATGTTTTTGCTTATGCTTTAAAAACACTTTTACTGAGAGGCTTAACTAACAGAATATGACTTTCTCTAAAGCCTAAAACCACAACAAATGGTTATGCAGTGAAACCACTGAAGCCTATGTCCTTCAGCAGCTCTCTCTTTATCATTTTATGTCAGCCCTTCTCTCACAGAGAAAACTGGTGGGGCTCTCTTTCCACTGCCCATCTGTGTGTTTTCATGGTATGTGCAAAAATGTAATCTTTTTGAGATGACTTCCTTTCTAGAGTGCTGGAAAATAAGGATAATAGGAAAGAGGCAATCAAAATGCTGTTTTCAAAGCCAAAGGCAAAAATTCTAGCATACTATCAGCTTGGAAGCAGGAGGCAGACAATTAGCTGGTAAAGAGGTGAGCCAATACCGCCCTCCTCCCCCCCCCCCCAAAAAAAAAAAAATGCTGGCCTTGATCTAGATGCAAGAGAGCAGCTAAGAAAACCAGAAGAGATCTTTGGACTTGTTGTTGGCTTTCACAGTGTGCTTCCACTCTATAAATAAGGCACCTCCTGGTTTTCAGATGTCTCTATGCCCTCAAGGTGGCAGGAGAGTGCAAAGCAACTTGAAAATGGAAAAGAATCTCAGTTGTTTTTCAACACACTAGGTCCGGATCATATCAGATAACCAGTTTTAAATTGTTATTTTTTAGAAAATCACTTTATCATAAATTTCAGAGCTTCAGATATTAAAAGGTTATGAGGTTAACTGAATTATCTACTAAACTTCATAACTATGGTAAGAAACAGATGAAGGGGTCAATAGGAATCAATGCAATTATTCTTCATGTTATGTTTGAACAGTGCACTATCACTATTTTAGGCAAAGCCCACAGAAAACAGCTACTGAGTTGTTGCATATGAAATTTCCACTGTATGTATGTAGAATTAACATAGAGAATAGGTTTATAGACTAAGCTTCTGGAGCAGAGGATAAGGAGAAGAGAAGAACATTGATATGGACCAGGAAAGAAGGTGACAGAGAAACTCAGTTAATACAAAGATCAGTCCTTAGCCTGTAATTTTATTAACAGAGCAGTCACAAAGGCTATGGTGATGGAAATACGTTGTATACATGGCCAGAGACACACTGTGTTAAACACGACCAAGGTCTTAGAAACAGTATTGTTTACTGTTGGACATGTTTGCAAAATGTGTATTGAATGGTTACCTTCTGGGGGTGGGTGGGGTGTGGGGTAGGAATGTAATTCCTGAATCGCTGGGAGACTCGAAGAGTAACTACTCCCAAAGGAGCTGAGGGCACCCCAGCTCAGCAGGAGAGAGCTGAAGTGTTAGTTCCTCTCACCTGGCACAGGGAATGGTGCCAGCCAAGGACATCCTCATCTGCAGGCACAAGCCACCAGCTTGTCTTGCAGAGGGAAGGAATTCTTAACATTGACTCTTAAGATATGCAACAAATTGGAGACTACTAACTAAAACAGTAGTTTCAAAAGTTACAGGAAATAAAGTATTTGAAGTCTGTTCTCCAGAACCAAATACAGAACTGAAAAAGTTCAAAGGACCTCTTGTATCTATTTGCAAATGAAAGTAGCTGAGAGAGATGAAGATGATACACACTTTCATTGTACTCTTTGTGTACAGTGAGACAGGTGCTCTCCATGGATGTGGTTCGACCTCTTTGCTCCTCTGCAGGAGATTAAGCAGAGGTCCTTTGGATCTCATTGCAGGGCCAGGGAACCAATCATTCTGTGTATGTGCAGCTTCTGTAGGAACTGAAATTTTAGATGAGTGTGGTAAACCAAACATGGTGTAGAGGTAGGTACAGCAACAGTAGCCATGGATGTCCTTTTGAACTGAGGAATTAAGAGTTAGTCTTATTCCCTGTTAAGAAAGACAAAAATTAAGGAGAAGGTAAAAAAGACTGTCAACAAGAAACAATTGTATACATGAAAAGTGTTTTGCCTAAATTAAGGAAGGCTCTGTGTGGGTGACTCTTCTTGACACGTATTCTAGGCACTGTGTGGAGAATTTACTGGGACTCAGGAGCAGAGACTCACACCTCGAGATGCTAGAAACCTTAACCAAAAGGTAGTGGTAAACCCCTTTAGACAAAATTGCCAAGAAACACCTATAAGGGAGGATTTAATGAAGACAAAACCCTGTCTTTTAGACCACTAAGAAGGGGAGACTATTTCAGCAGTTAGGCTGTTGCATGATTTTTCCCCAGCCTGAGAACCTGGACATATCTACTGTTTTTGGGAAGAGCAGAAAAAGTATTTGGGTATGGTGGTGGGATAATGGAAGGATCCACTTTAAAAAAAATTAAGTGTAGAAGCAGAGCTGGCACGGTGAGATAGTTTGGCATACTGGCATTAAAGATGGAAGAAGGTGTGGAAAGAAGAAAAGGACATATTCCTCCAACAGTCATGAACATGGTATAACCACTTGAACAGAAAACCAAAAGAAAATTCTGTTTTTTTTAATGGGAAATTTCTAATTATAACATTATGTAATTATTTAATTATTGCTATTTAATAGTATAATACCAGGGTTAGTCATTAATGACCTAATTAAATGTAGTTAAATGGGTAATTGATTAATTTCATTAATGTTTACAATAATTATAACATCTAGTTATTGCTACTACATTGTTTAGTTACTCAAACATCTTATTGTTCCTGTCAGTTTTCAGATAATCTAGGTTTTTTTTTCAAAAGGATTATGAGTAGGCTGGGGAAATGCTGCTCTCCTGGATAGTTTCAATTTTGACAAAACAGGTAAACCTGAAGACACAGGATCAAAAATCCCTTTTTTGCTTTCTGCAGTGAAAACTACCTTCTGTTTGAGAAAAAAGATGCATGATAATAGAAATAGGAGGTCTGTGCTGTTGCCCGCCTTTGCAAACTAAGCCAGGGCCTGCTTCTCCCTTCCTTGACTCTGTAACATGGAGGAAAGACGTTCTGCACTCCTACTGCGGAGTTAATGCTTCAGGAGCTTGATGCAGAGGTTGTTCATATCAAACACCCAATAAATTCTATAGCCGTTGTGCTGTCGTGGTAAGAGTCTTGGAATACTGGCATTTCTGAAATAACCCTGCTGGTTGACTTCTATGTTGGCAATTTGTGGAGGAAATTTGTGCCCTCCATCAGTGATGAGATGGCATCCAAAGCCATTCTCACGGCAAAGTGGTTTGCTACTACTGTCCCCCATTATGGATCTCATGTTAACCCTGCATATGTATTTGTGTAAAGCACAATTGTCGATGCCAGAAGTCCATTTAACAGCAGGATCTTTGCACAGAGGTGGTTGCAGGATACTGCTGTTATGAGCAGCATGTTAACAAGCATTTGTTTCATGGAGGGGTGATTCATGGATGAATTTGCATCTGCTGTTTCAGATTCATAGAACCTGACAACTAAAAGACTAAATTATTGTTGTCTTAAGGCTTTTCTACCCTGAGTGAGACTGCAGTTTGCTACCAGGAGTTTTCCTGGTTTGGATGGATATTCTTCTAATAAGCTAATAAATTTTTAGGATGAATTGTGATGCTGATATTTTTCAGAATCAGTCCTTGGGATATTCTTGGCCGCAGCCAGCTCAAAAGCTCAGAAGCTCTTTCACCATGACAGTGAATTCAGGCAAAAAAAAAAAAAAAAAAGAAAAATACTTCTTCAAGGGCCAGTAATTAGTGTGTAAGTCAATAGGTGGTGCACTAGACATATGGAAATGGTGAAGAACTGCTCTTGCTCTTTCACTTAGGATCTTAAGAACTGGGATTTGGGAAAACTTGTTTCGTTTCATCCAAAGAACCAATTCTGGTAGCTTGAAAGAAGTAAGAGAAAATAAAATATATATGTGTTTTTAAGATGGTGTTGACTATAATTATTGGAATGAATTACATATATTTCAAATGCTTGTGTTTAAAATGGCATTCAAATGCCGTGTTTGTTAGTTTTGATACTTAATGAGAACCATAATTTCATGAGTAGTTAAAGAAAGTATACTTAAGCATGGAATCATGTTTAGGAAATTTTGATCATGTAACACCTGTATTCAACCATCTATTTTCCAGAAAAGGACAAATTTACTCCAGCCTTAGAATACAGAAACACAGTCATTTCTGTGGATCTTTGTTTCTGCACCATAGATTGCATTCCTTCTGCATCTGAGATTTATGGGGGAGCAATACAGAAAATTAGTGGCATTTTAATGAGCTAAGTACATTTTACCGCTAAGTACAACAGCAAAATGAATCAAAAGTCATGTCAAAAGCTGCAATTTAAAGCCATGTGGTGAAAATGTAGATCCGTTAATCTGTTAATGTTTTGTCCCTTACTTTTATTACAGGAAATTTGTCTATTCATAGTCTTTGGCACAGTATTCATATTTTAAACTGATAAACAGAGATCATTAAGATAATTGTCA